CGTATATTAACCGCCATTCTTTCCCGATTTTGAATGTTCCACTACAAACCTTATATAAATAAATGAATGTTTTTACCTCACGGCAGGCGAGATACGTAATTTGTGTAATTATCATTGGTACATCGGTTTTCATCGGCATTTCATACTTGATGCGTTTATTCGCGGAATATGTTGAAGGTAACAGATCGGAAAGCTAGTTATGTCATAAGTTGTTTGAACTGTATTCACACAATATCTTATTGGTCTGACCGTCATAGAGGATAATCAGCGGGGTCCCATCCTTTGCATCGAGCGGGCTGGATATGGGTAATGATGCTGCTGCCCAAAATTTCCCGTCTTATCCCTTTCTTCCGGTTTCCCTACTCATCATCCCATTCCAACGTAACTATTTTCCCCCCTGTTTCCGATCCCCTAATTCCAGTCCGTCCTCTACATTGCTTTGATAGGCCTTTGTTTTCTGGTTTCGATTCACATGCTGTCACGGAGCGTCAATTACGCCCTATCAAGTCCGTGTCAACCGTTTGGACAACTTCAGTTCATCCGTATTTTTCGATCCATCAGTCTCCGCCAAGATTGGCATGCCTTAACTCTGGCACGCTTTGCAGAGTGGACAACAGTCAGCACTTGCCTGAACACTAGACATCAAAGGGACCTTCGATTCGGTTGATCGATGTGACCTGTGGGACTGTCTGTTTAGGATAGGTGTTCCCGATAAATACGTAAATATTATCAGACCGATTTACGCGCATAGTTCAGTCAGAGTGAGAGTTTATGCAAACTGTCGCCACCCTTAAATATCTCCAATGGCGTGAAACAAGGTTGACTACTATCACCTTTCCACTTTAACGTCGCCATTGACGAAATCATGGAAACGGTGTTCGCCGAGCACGACTTAAAAGATGTGGAACTGCTCCCAGCTGAGCAGCTTTTTGTCTTAGAGTATGCTGTCGATATCACCCTTATCTGTACCAGTTCCCAGACTTAGCAAGCAACGCTGACAGTCCATCGTTTTGGGCTATGCTTTGCTCCCTTGAAATGCAATGTCTCTCTCAAAAATTTGTAGGAACCCACCCTTGCGCTGACCCTTGGTGATCAGCTGGAAGTTGTCCAGAAATTTGTGTATCTTGGTAGCTATATTAGCGTTATATAACGCTATATTAGTAACGTTTCGATTTCCATTGAAAGCGACATTTTGTCACTGGATGAGCGCTTCCTTGATTATAATCCGGGGCGTTTATTTACGTATAAGGAATCCGCAACGGCATTAATCGATCCAGCTTGTTTTTCCATAGTTAGCGATTGCTCTCGACAATGCTTTACGCAGTGCCATCAACCAATCTTTTTCGGCTAATATTGAAATCTTCCACGAAAAGTTTGTACTCAGGCAGTAGGTTAGTCGTGCTTTTGAATGCTGTTGATAGTGATCATACATCATATTAAGGGAGGTTTTATAGATTGTAAACGCAACCTAGGGAAGGTGCTGGTGGTGTTTTGAAATCGTGGTCTAAATTGCGTCCTCCATGTAATACGGTAGTTTAAAATCGAATGCGATTGCTACACTTGGTTCCTTTGCGTGTAATGTGCAGCCTCCGCACGACGATACTATGAATTCTTAATACCGTTATTACATTCGAAAAGTGACATCCTCATCGGAACTGGCATCAGTGCACCATGATTCTGTGCTCAAACTTTTATCAAGATCCAGAGCTAATATAATATAGCGAAAGATAGCCTTCTCTCGATAAATTTAAGGCAAGAAATTTCCTTTGTAAAACAAAAAAAATCGGCATATCAGAAGGTGCAATTTGTGACTTGACGTTGCCACTTCGTGCATCCTTATCAGTCACAAGTATGCAGCATTGATAGAAACCCAAAAAGCGCGGCAGACCTGCGGCTGTCTAACTCTTTGTGGATTATGCTTATGTTTACGATTAAGACACCGATGACGGGGCAGTGCATGTTCCTCTCTCTATGCACGTTCACCGACAGCTGCCGAGACAGCTACATAGAATGCAGTGACAGACCTTTTGGCGTCAGAATCAGTGGACGCCTCCGGATGGGATCGGTGAAGGCGGAACGGTATGAACTGAAAAATCTAGTTACCTCGGTATTCACCAAGCAATTGCTGGGCACTTTTCACCGAATCAATCTCAATGAGCTGTTCACATCCTAATGCGCGGCTAGCGGCCTTAAATTCTTAGGCTACTGGAGACCATGGTTATCGATCGCGAACATTCGGCGCTGTGCATTCCAGGACGACTGCATTTGGCTCTAACCCAACTCTGTTAGCGCAAGCGCATGGCCATCTACGGTTTCATATGACACCATTTTGGAAAATATGGTCCGATTTTCATGAGTGGTACATTGAAACGCTCAGACGCTTGCGTGACGCGGGAGCACGATAAATTGCCAACTGTCCAATGGTGAATGTTAGTTTGCCGAAATTTTGTGCACCAACGCGCAGCGGTATGACGGGGTGGGCTGTGAGACAGCCCTAGGACTGGTCTTGTTACGATTGATGGGTGAATCGCAGTACTTGGAGCACTTTCTCACGTTACCGTCTTGTTCGCCTTGTACATTGCTCTTAGCATTCATTCTGCCCCGACGCACTATCGGCACCATAGGCCGACGCACTAATTTAGTCGTATATATATATATATATATATATATATATATATATATATATATATATATATATATATACATGAAATCTGGTATAGGTGAAGATACCCAGTTTCCAACTCTGACACATTGGGTACACCTAGACAAGAACGATAGCAGTCATGCTAGTAATGGGTTAGTAAACCCATAAGAGGCCAACTTTGTTAAAAGTTCTGCATGGGGAACGCGGTCGAATGCTTTTTCCATGTCTAAGAAAAGAATAACCATCGACTGTCTGGAGTCAACCGACTTGTTTATGTAATCCAGACATTCAAATTGACATGAACGACCACGAAGGAATCCATATTGCGATCTGTCAATCAGATTTTGTGAATTTAGAATATCCATGCCTTTTTCTTTGATTATTCTTTCCATAATTCGAGTCAATATAGAATTATGGCTAATGGGGCTGTAATTTGCTAGCTCGTGACGTGATCCCCCTTTGTGTCGGAGTAGGACGGTGGTCCGCTTCCACCTAGTAGGGTATACACCAGTTTTAATTGATAAGGTGAATATGTTTAGCAGAAATATGGGAATATGGGGCCCGGCAAGTTTGAGTATTGCTAGTGGTATGCTGTCAAGTCCAGGATGAAAAGAATTCTTTAAGGCGGCTATTTGCCTTCTAATGCTATACAGGTTGAACACAACCGTATCTATTGTTTCACTGATGACTAGCATCAGTCTTTCTTGTGCAACGACTGCCCCTGTATTAAACGATGAGAAGAAATGTTTATTAGATAACTCAAAGAGCTCATCGAGGTTGGTAGTCAGACTGCCGTCTTATGCGGCAATCGTTATAGGTTGATGGCGTTGTGTTTCGTATCTGACTCATATTATGTGATGTAACATGCGTTTGCAGCTGGGAGCTGCTAGCGCTTGTGCCTCTTGTGACATAAGCTTTCTTTCCTATTGGTCTTGCAATTCCTTGAGCATTTTACCAGTTTGTATGACCGCACATATGTCATTCATTTTCTTCAACCTAAAGCGCAAGCGTTTTAGGCGCACCGCAACAGCTTTGGGAATGGGTTTTTAGGACGAGGCAATGGCTGTTTTCTATATTATAGTGGTGCAAGCAGGTCCGTGCAATAGGTCAGATGTTGGTAGAACTCATCAGCGGTGATATCTGAACAGTCTGTGAGGAAAAAACCATCCCAGTCAATGGATCTAATAGTCAGTAGGAAGCTGTCCCAGTCCAATTTGCGCTATGGTCGATATTGGCAGGAATAGTGAGGGTTCGTTACCGTTATTTGAGCAACTTTGCAGTTTTGTTGGATAGCCTTATGATCGCTCCCAGGGAGATTACTAAGAGTCTGTGTTTGTGCACTTTATATGCTTAATGCGAAATACAAGCTATGAATCTTTCTGCCTCTAGTAGGAAAGCATAGTTACTGTGTCCATCCACGAGTGACTACTGATGAAAGAAAGTTCCGTTACTTGGCGAGCACTGTTCGTTCCTGCGACGGAACATCGGGCATGTTGAGATCGCAACATATAGTTTTTTGAAAGAATAGCATCTCAGATGTCCATTCAACCAATTCAGACAATTGGTTTAATTTGGCCTTGGTAGGGTCGGGCGGCAAGTAAATGCACTCAACAAGAAAACGACAGGATTTGGTCTTAATCAGTTAGAGCTGAGGTTGAACACTTCATTGGCAGGATAAACTTTTCTGACTCCATACCAGGTCCTGACTGGAAAACGACGATTACCTTTGGAACCTAAACTAGTTTTGTCGGAGATCTGTGGCTGGAACAATTTGAAATACATTAGATAGGTGTTCTCGTTATGGTGTTTGAACTTGTGCCATTTACTGTGGTGATCGCTTCTTGTGAATCATAACCAGATCACCACAGGCTACTGGTGTTGTATACACCAAAGGACCGATACTGAGTGCTACGTGGCAAATATCAGTACCGGACTGTGGTAGTTTCCTTGGAGCAAAAGTGCTCAACTGATCCTGTTTCTGCTGTACCTCACGCCATGCTCGCTTGAATCATCCTGAACTCCGGGTCACCCACAGTTTGCACCATCATCTCTATGATTGCTCGGTAATTCGTACTTCTAGCCATAAAACTGCTAGAATCGTCTCCTTTTTCTAACTCTCATTTGCATACTCTCTGGTCTCCTTTTTTTGGTTTCCTCATCTTAAGAAGTCTTCTTATTTTTGAAGTTCCGGGTAATGTTTTTTTGTCAGTCTCGGGAATTGTCCTATATAATATCATCCAACTTTGAAAGCGTATCGATTTCCTATTACAACAACTATCCTTAAACATATCAAGAGGCATTTGCTGCCGTCTATTGTATTTTTTCTGTAATTACTCTCCCATCCTCACTTACTCAGCTATCTGCAAGGTTGGAAAAAGACCCTGCTTATCGTTTCTCATGATCAATCGTTCTTGGACAACGTGTGCACGGATATAATACATCTGGACCGTCAGCAGCTGTTTTACTATAGAGGCAACTACAGTAAGCTGCACGCATTCTCACTTCGTCCCCTTTCTATTTCGGGCACGCTGCCGTACCCACTGAGCGCAATATTTTTTTAAAAATTTTCTGCTGCCTTTCTATGCTGTTACTCTCTTCTGCTACTTTTTCACTACAGTCGCGTTATGTGCTTCAGGTGGGTTACTGTGCGATAATTCCCTTTGCCTCTATTGGTCCCCAATTGTGTTAAGGTTGTCGCAGTGACATGGTCAGGAGCTCACTGTGTACCAATAGCATACGTGTTCCGGAGAAAATCAAGTTACCTTAAATGAATAAACTTTTATTCTGGACCATGCGAAACGCCTGTATCCGCATTATTGGACTAGAAAAATTATGTCATGTATATAATCTAGTAATTAATTTATATGGTTGGCGGCATCCGGTTTCCGATTTGCATGTCACTGTGGCCAGCCACAGGACGCCTGCGCCTACAGAAGGACCATGGGTAGCTTGCGCTACACCACCCACAGCTCCAACCACACACCTCATATCCAGGGTAAACCCGAAGGAATAAGACCGGGAGTCATGTGGATGGGAGCCACGTTTCATCAAGGGAGTCGGCCCACACTCCTTCACAGGCAAACACAACACGCTGTATCTGGGGAATCAAGCGCACACAAGGCGGTGCCTGGGCCGTAGTCCGCTCTACACTGAGGGCATGGAACCACTCTTTAAGCCTAACATGGCCACAAGGACCATGCATCCCGCCCCGTCCAATAGCGACTAACTGTCTCTTGGAGCCAGTATGAACGAGGTATTGGGCAATAGACAGGTAGGCACCTTGTCAAGATGCACATCAAGCGCAGCCACACCGGGGATATCAAGCAACACATTCACTTGAAACGACAAGATGAACTAAAATAAATCGGACAATGCATACAGATACGGCGGCATAACTCTTCAGTAAGTGGGCGTATAAAATAAATTGGTTACGAACTAATCCATGATAAAGAGGTCAGAAGATATATTTTAAACAAATGCCACAAACGCGAAAATGTTATCGAAATTAACTGCCATTGGCTTCAGCGACCTCTGCAAGTTTATAGAAAAGCGTACAGGTGGACATTTATTTGAGAAAGAAAAGCATTAGGACAAAATTGCAAGCCCACCACTTGAAATAAGTAGACCTAGCATGCCAGCACGCGGTTAGTAAATCGAATACAGCGTACCCATTATATATATATATATATATATATATATATATATATATATATATATATATATATATATATATATATATATTAGGTAGTAACTTGTTCCGGACTCTGGCGTACGTATTAAGGAAAATGTTCACGAGCTTGCACTCCGCCGCTGAGTTTTATATTTCTTCATATGTTGTGGACTGTTGGTTGCATTAATGTTATGTGGTTGGAAACATCTAAGGTTTCTGTGCAAGATGTTGGAAAATGTAACTGTGTTGTGTTTCATTCGCCGTGACCAGAGGGGACCAAGCTAGAGCATATCACGTCGTTCACAATATTCCGGTTTTGAAGAAGCACCTTAGAAGTATTTTCTGAGTTCTCTCTGTACGTCTTCCTGTGTACTGCGGTCGCCCTTCTTTTGAGATGCTATACACCAGTGAACCATAGTCTAACCTGGGTCGAGCTATTGATATGCAATAATGTAATATTGATTCACGTAGGGAAAATGTCCTAAGTATCAATACAATTTTCTGTATTTCTTTCGCGGTCACATGGCCTGCTTATTCACAGAAGTCATGTGAGCATCAATATCGCAATCGCTGCCCAATCCCTGCTAAGCCGCCGATAAAATTTCGAAGTCAGATCGTATACATGCAGCTTTTTTAGTATCCAATCAAGTAGCTTGCTTCCAGCGCGTTTGTTGGGACCGATTGCGACCCCGTAAGTACCTTTAGTCATTGACTCAGCATCTCTAGAGACGAAAAAGTGTTGTCACTGTATGTAGATTCCGAATCAATACGTCAAGATTCGGTACGTTGCATGCATCATTTACCATGCTAGTGTAATTTCGTAGTTAATGCTACCTGTTGGCCAATCTGACCCAGAGGTCGGACGTTAAACAAGCTAATTTGTACTGAAACCCTAGATTCGGGGCGGGTTACGTGTATCAAAATCGCTAATTACAAGATCAGCGGCAATCTCTTGATTGACAAACTTTGGAAGAGGAGAATTGTACTTGGAAGACAGGGTCTAGATGTCATATGTTACTCTGCGGCTGTCCATTCTGAGAGAGGGCTTTTGTTCGAGTGGTTCAACCTTTAACCGTTATCTCATTATTCTGATTCACGAGGCAGCGAGGTACATGGAATTTCACTTGGGTATTCCACCGGGAGCTATTGGCTCAATAGCCTTACCCACAAGGTAGATGGGACCAATCTAAATCGGGAGTGTGATTTGCAAAGATTCTTGGGAATCTGTTTAACCCGTTAACTGCCTATTTTGAAAATTGGTGCGTGGAGCGGTAAAATGAGCTCGTATGCTTAGTGCAGAGCACATATGTGATCACTTTTTGTTTCCTGCCACTGGCGATATCGTGTGGAAGATGTGAACATCCTAGTTTTCTCCGTCAGCGACTGATGGCGTTACTAAGCTGATTAAAGTGTGTAATCTCCATGATCCCCAATTGGGGATCATGGAGTTCTCCCACTGTCAAAGTGATGCGTGGCACTTGTGCCCTACACCAGTCGAGATATGAGCTTATAACTTGTAGATGTGTCGGCTCTCATGTCTAGGTTTTAAGGGAAGTGGGACATGGACCAACCCCAAATCTTGGAGAGGATTGTGAGACTGATTTGGTTTTAACCCCGAACTATTGCCCTGTCTGATATGACGGACTCTGAAGGTACTTTCAAAGTGCCCCCAGCGTAATTCGATGGGTCACGGAACAAGGCACATCATCGCAACACGTTAAGGTCCAGTCCCGTTGCGACTGGTATAACACAAAAACAAGGTTCGACACTTGAAGTTTCGTACCCCCTTATCCATCACGCCAGCTTGCGATCTGGCACTTTGATGCACCAGGTACGAAGGTAACGATTTCGATTCGTGTTACACCGGACGCATCTTATGTCACGACAGGCTGTGAATCCTTTTCAACCATAGTTTTTACCCACCCTTACTCGTTGGCGGTGTATCCTTAGGCCGTTTTTCTGTTTCACTTGCCGTACTCCATATCACTGTGGTGTGATAAGTTGAAGATTGAACTTTTTATTCTACGGCTACACGTGTATTTCTGTTTACTTAGTTCACAAGTTACTGATTTTATTCATGGTATTATCCTACTCTGTACGAATGAACGCTAACAAACCAGTGGATGATTTTGTGCAACCCATAGATCATTTTTGCAACCCTTATCAACACTTACGGGACCTAAGTGACTACATAATAGTTAGCCAGCTGTATGGATGGAAACTACACTCCGAAGCACTGTTACTTAGCTTATCTCTCAACTCGGTTCCTTGCAGTTTACTGTCCGTTTCAAATCATCCTATCTGTTCCCGCTTCTCGATCATACGTGAACAGTAATCAACTGCATAGTTTCGAAGTTCGACACCAGAGACTATTTTCTCGCGTGTTTTTCCGTTTCCAGACAGTTTCAAAATCATGTTAGCCCAGCGGCGTAAAGAAGACCTGCGCGAGTACGAGAAGCAAGAGAGGCGACTCCGTGAATTGAAAAACAGCGGTTTGAGCAGCAAGCAAGCTGTGGCGAAGAATCAGCGTGAGGTGTTGACTCGAAAACAAGCAAAGAGCAAACAAATGCTTGGTGACACACAGGATCGCTCCGCTGCACCACCACAGCTACTCTCCAAACCGAAGGAATATGTGGTGAAGGTAATACTCCGTGTACATCCGTTGGACCCTTATGTTCCTCATACATTTGTGTTTAGACACTCTAATTTTCTCCGGTTTCTACGTTTCTCGAGGTGTTCAGTCTGAGTTTTCACTTTCTAGTCTGTCACCAGTTGAATTGCTACGTTTTTACCAAAATCTTAGTGGAATTCTTCATGGTTGTCGTCCTCGCGATTCGAGGCTGTCATAACCATTACAATGTGTTCAGGCTTCTTTTGCTATGGTTAAGTTCTATTTTATCGCGTACACATTGTAATCGCGGATTTTTACAGTGTACTTTATCGATCAAACGGGCTTGCACTAGCAGCAGTGAGCATATTTTAAAGCCATATCTGCTCTAATGGATCTGCGATGCGGGTGCTAGGAGTGAATTTCTCTTACCCACCCAGGTGATGTTCACGAACCCAGTTAGAATTGCCTTCTCTCCTACTCCCTTGAAACTTGGCTTTCGGTTTGAAGTGATTGTCTTCGTCATGTTCCTCAACTGCAGTGCATCAATTGTTTGAAATGAAGCCTCTTTGCCTTGCATCCATGATGACCTGGGGAGTGAGGGTGGAAGAGTCCTAATATTTGGCTTTAACACCATAAGCAGACATGAAGGGCCAAGGCACCCATATCTAGTTGATAACACATGGTCACGTATAAGTGGCTATCTTGCAAAGATAAGACAGCACTGCCAGGTCAGCTTCATTGCCATTTTCGCCTTCCCGCATCACAACTAGCCTTTGTGCACCAATTAGTCAGCATCCGACACACTTTTAACAAGTAGTCTGTCAAGCGGACATAAACAGCCACTGCAATGGTATCGACTACGAGCCATATCCAGCTAATCGCAAGACGGGTCACGTGAACTCCAGGTTGTAAAAGAAGACGAACCAGCAGCACCCAGTTTGGTCTTCAGCGACTTCATTTTCTGCTTCCAAGTCAATTTGTGCTCTCTTTTATCCTTGCTGCATGTTATATCTGGCAAATAAAGCAAGGAACCTTAGGTAAGCGTCGCCTGGACATACACATGCCCACGCCAACGTGAATTACTCGATGGTATTTACTGTGTTAAGGAACCATTTTGTTTATTGCCGCCCATTACTCGCTCAAACAGCTCGTCGTTGCGCTGTGGCCCCTCCGACGCCAGCACTACTACGCATGTAACTAGGATCAACTCGTGATGCCAGTTGCGGGGCTCTGGATACTCCCGTTCCAGCAAATCGTTCGGTAGTAGTGTTTCAAGACGTGACGGGTTTTCGTCTGGTAAGCGTTCTCCTTATTAAAACCACATGTCTTTCAACAACCTTGTCAAGTGGTGGATGTGACTTGTCACTAAATAAAGGCATTGTCGCTTGGTGGAGCATATCGTTCCAGCAGCCTGCTGCTAACGATTGGCCCCTGTTTTATGACTTACCAAGCAAATGACGTATGAACTAGGCGTTCAGTCATCGACCACCAATGGACGCGATTTTCTGACTCACCTCGTTGGCTTTCGGGTAGGCTATTTGGCCAATACCTCGTAGTGCTCTCTTCAGACAACTCCCTACTTCGGCCTGGGCAACCGGGTAGTATCGCGCCCTATGACAAAATGATAGATTGCTCTATGTTGTGTTCGTTTTTTTTAACAATCACCTTGCTTTCTATAGTTTTCCACCTTTTTCGTTGGTTTCATATACATCCCTAGGCTGCATATATATATATATATATATATATATATATATATATATATAGTTCGCGGCATCCGTTTCTAGCTTTACCTGTCACTGCAACTGCGAACAGCCACTCACATACCATATCTCTTGTAATCTCGAAGGATTAGACCTGAGGGGAATGTAGGTGGGGGCACGATTGATTCGGAGCCGACTTACATTCCTTCAACATTCATTTCATTCATGTGAATTTCGGAGAAATATACGTACCAGCTATACACAAGACGGTGACTGGGCCGTGGCCCGCTTACCTGTTTAAATCTGGCACTGTCACGAAGATCGTGCGACACGTCTTTCCCAGCAACAGTTAATAGTCTCCTGAAGACACTAATTGAGGTAGGAGTTTGCGACAGACAAGCATCTTGTCATCACTAGCGCCCGACGTAATATGACCGGGGGTGTCAATCAGCAAACGCCTACAATTCGCGAAATTAACACCCAGGCACATGTAGAGACCGACTGCAGCGATGAAGCAGCATGTATTAGTAAATAGAGTCGGAAGCAGAATACTTACAAGTCCGGATAATTACCTGTTCAACTTTCTCTGCTCCCTCGATATTGGCTCCTCCTAACCATGTTGATGATTGCCATGACCGGCTCGGCTAAGGCACACACGACCGCTTGTGCTACAGCACCATGGGCTTGCTGTAGACAAGCTGGGCTTCCTTAGTGCCTGTCGGTTGCGCAACTAGCACTTTTCTTCATGACGCATCATTGCTTTCTGATGTACCTATTGAGTGGATTTTAGAATTAAGAAAAGTAATGCTGATTTAAAAATATTGAGATAGTTGTGGGATACTCAGAATATTGTTTAGGTTGCTTTATACAGTTCGGGCTTAAAATCCAGATGTTTGGGCCCAAGCTAAATTTGTTGAAACAGAGCGCTGTACTATCATTTAAAGGTAACCCAATGTAGGGGTTTGTGGATGAATATGGCTCTATCGAAACTGTTTTTGGGAAATGGCCCTATGGCTGGGGTAATATCCGGAAAGTTAAAAGGTGGACATCTTGCAAGTTTGCTTGTGGATACTGGTTTATAAGGCTGTGCCATTTGTACCATGACGCTTCTTGGCTATCAATTACGTGGGTAATTGATAGAGGTCAGTGGTAGCTTCCCTTTTCTTTTGTTGGGTATAGTCTGCTTACGCACATTTGAGCTAGAAAGTATTGATATACATAATGGAGGCACACTAGACTCAATCCACTCACCGCGAGCAGCATATCTCATGTTATCCATAAGAGAGACTGGGTACTGATGGTATCCAAACGGATGGTCTGTAGCATGCGAATATGCTGAAACACCCTCTAAACTACAATGATTGTGATCAATGGGTAATTGTTTATCCATTGAAAACGATAATACAGATTCGCCTAATGACGCTTTCGATCAACCGACATTTTATTGCCGCTCAGTTTGACCGGATCAGTCGATACATTTGACGAGTTTAAATACAAGCCAGAGTAGACTTCAGGTGTGCTGAGACTGCTCGAGCTTTGGGCTAGTGGCTTTGGTTACATTTAGGATTCAACGTCTACTGCATTTGGTATTCCACGAATCACATTATTTTCACCGCGCATGTAGGAAAAACATTACAAATATATGTACAGCTGTTGGACTTGGCTATCCGCTAGTAAACAGCATCACCATCACTGTGGGTTGTAGTGATTTGCTTAACATGCTATGCTTAGTCATGAAACTGCTGCATGACTAAAGTCCTCCATTGGCCGTTTTGCAAGTAACGTTAGTTCTACCTCCGAAGTGCCTGATTTGGGTATTTTCCTAGACACAGCAGCAACAAACTATACTGGTCTGCATGCTCATGCGATTTACTGTGATTTTTATAACTCTTTTTATTATTTTTTACATCATCCTTTTCGTCGTGCAATGTCTAGGAGCGATCAAGGACTGTTGATCCTGCGGCAATACTTTACATTTTATATATGCGGGGCGCGTATCAAGTGGTGGCACCACTCGAAAGGCCTCTCCAGTGTTGACATATTTACCCTTGTTCCTCGTCCCCGGCAACAAGACGGTATCCGCAATGCGTGTTTACTCATGCGAGTACTAATTGGCGACGTTTATCTCAGTTATTCGAATCAACGGATGGAACCGAATAAGTTGTATTGCTTCTGGCACATCCTACATCTACTCGCTTATCTCCTACCGAAAGAATTCTTATTTTGTTTGCATGAAGGATAATGTTAAGTTCAAGTGCCTCAATCGTTGGCCTGCTGACCGTAAATAAAGCCACTGGCCACTGGGTTTGTAACTGTTGGTCCGTCTATCTTTTAATGCTGGGGCCTATGTCATCAGCCTGTGGTTGGCTGCAGATTCCGCGTGGCATGACTCGTAATCGACATCACCGGCGTGTTGACTATCGCTTTTCGGCACGATTGCTTATGCGTGTACAATGCCGACATGTCTGTTGGTTAAGATTGATTGAGACGCTGCATATTAACAGTCGTAATCAAACTGTTTCACCGATGTTCCTTTCACACATTGTGCAGCCATTTAGCCCATATCGTTTGCTTTGGTCACTCAGGTTTTATTTTAGACTTAACTATCTCCTCTTCAAATTCCTCTCTAGTACCCTCTTTTTGGTACCATGGCAGCAATGTACTAGTACAATTTAATGTTTCATCGCTGTTGACAATGATAGATGTACAGACATCCGTTTAACATTGCCATAAGTGGTGTATCAACATTTGGTTGCTTTGATTGGCCATGTAACGGTTTTTTCCCTGTTTGCCTTCACCGATTACAGGGTACCCATCTTAAAGTACAGATTCTTGTACTCTGTTTTCCGTAAACTTATACTGAATAATGACGATAGAGAGCGAGAAAATGTAAATCTGTGTTACTCCATCGTAGGTGGATCGGGCACTTACACGAAATCACGTTGCTGTTTTCTGCGCGGTGGCAGCATATTGCAGCTGCACTACATATTATCCGAGTGCGATACTCTCCCTGTACCTGTAGTCCGCAAAATGGGTGTTAAGGAATCTCTTAAATTCCCACAGCAGTTTCGCCTCGACTGGAGTCTCCGGCAACTTGTTCCAATATTTCACCACTCGAAACACAGAGAGCGAGCGATACGGTATAACTAGTTCGTACCGGCGCCCCCGTGTGTTGACCTGTACGCTAATGTGCATCGGCAGTCTTGACATAGGAAACTGGCCCAGATGCAATATGCGGTCCGTCATTACGAAATCAACTCGATGGCGACAATATGACAGGGTATAAAGCCCTAATCTCCTACATCGATTATCGTACGACATACCCCGTAA